CTCTGGGGTCTTGAGGAGCCCTGAGACATAGTGTGTTGTGAGATTGTGTGTTGCGCTGCTAACAACAAGCTGAGCAGTTCAAACTCTTTAGTCTCTCCTTGGGGGGGTGGGGGGGATAGATGAGGCCATCTGCTCGCAAAAGACTTAAGAGTCTGGGAAATCCTAGGGGGAAATTCCACTTTATCCTAGAAGGTCACCATGAGTCATAATCGACTAGCCGGCCGTGGACTTGGTTTGGTTTTGGAAAGAAAGCGAGGACAGCTCTGGACACTTGGTTTGAACCTTTGATCTCCACGTTAGCCGTCCAGATACATGCATGCCAGACCTGCACTGAATGACCACTGGCTGCTGAGAGGCGCCACCCCTATTCCAGCCCCATTCCTTTGACACCCCTTCCTCAGAAAGCCAAGTCGGCTCCAAAAGTGTTGGGTGAGTGTTCAAGGTTACCTTTTCGTCTTATTCTTTCCGAAAGAATCCCAAGGCTGCTGGTCACCTGGGAAGTCTCCAGTGACATGCATGAGAGCCCACTTGCAGGGCAGAGCAGTGATGGCACAGCAGGGTCAGGAGGGAAACCGAGAAGGCATGCAACAAGAAACCCTTATTCCCTGTGTATCTCTGTAGCTAACTCCGAAAACCTCAGGAGGAGAAGGCTCCTTCAGAGCCACAAGACTGAGCACAGGCATCAATGAGGGGGAAAAGCGAGCTGTACAATGGAGAGAAGGCTGACACTAAAATATGGATTAAAGGCAAACCTACTGTCGTGGTAACTGTTCTTTCCGTTCTACTTACTGAGCCACTCAACGTTGCTGGAACAGTAGCATCGCTGAGGAAGAGACGAAGCTGTGGACAGCCCCGGGGGCACTGCAACCCATGTCTGCATGGGACCTGAAAGTAGACGAAGCCCTTTCATAGAAACATAATGGAGATAATGTTTTTAAAACTATTTTCCATTCTTTCTCCCCACCCCTCCTCCTCCCTTGCCCTGTAGCTCCCCACCCATTGAATCGATGGCATTCATTGACTTATGCCAAGGAGAGGCCCAGCCAGGCACAAAGGAGTCGTTTGTCCAGTTTAAGTTTCAAATTCAATTCATTTTTCTATCCAGAGAAGAAACCATTTTGAAAGTCAGGGGAGGCCCCAAAGTGTCTTCTAAAATTCAAAACTTAGTGGTTACATATCAATAATATATTTTGAAGGTCCGGCATAGAAAGGTACCAAACTCCCAAGAAGGCTAGAGCCTGCCGGAGGCCGGGCTCTTCAGAAGCTGAACTAAACTGGAGTCTGGGGTCCAGGGTGTTTATGGAGGCTCAGCACCTGTGAAGGAAGAGGTAGAAGCAGGACTGGAAAGGAGGGGCAGTGGAGCTGACGTGCCAGTTGAACAAAAGCTTCATCAGACTAGTAGGGAGCTCTGAAGAGGATATTCCCAGCAGAATTGTCTGTGACCACTGAAATAGCTGAGCTTTTACGTCTCTGCCTTCCTTAGCAACTGGGTCCAGTATGCGAGCAACTGGACATGTGTGTAGAGTTAGTCATCTTCCAATGGTCCATCTTTGGGGTCAACTCTCACCTCTCCTCCAGCTGGACGCCACACACAACAACAGATATATGCCCAATATATCCCTCTCCAATTGCTAAGGGAGTGTTTCAAAGCATATTCAATTATTTTCATAGCCTAACCCAGCAGGGGGAGGAATTAAAAAGCATTTGTTGATTTTCCTTAGGGCTAGAGTCTCATAAGTTCAGTCTGAAAAAACTCGGTGACTCTTGAGTTCCAAATTCAGGGGAGAACTTCTAAGCACAGCACATTTTGAAGAGTTCCTGATAAATGCCTTCCCGCCAATTATTGAGAGTAAAAGGGACATCAATCTCCCCACATAGGGATGTCAGCATTCACACAGCAGCCTAGGGGAAAAATGGTGATCTTAAATCATGCCCTAGAGGGTGGTAGTTCTGTTGAGTCATGAAAATAAACCTCGACATTCTAGAATACTCAGAGGCATTCCATTTCTTGTTCTCACTCACCATCCCCTCACAGCACACAGTAAAGGAGAACTGAAGGAGCAAACCAGACCAGACTGGAGACAAAGCTTTGACTAGCTCAGCCATTACTCTACCCAAGAAAGGCCTGGAAAAGAGCTTATAAAAAATCCAGCCCCTGAAAGCCCTAGGAAGCGGAGTCCTGCTCTGACCCACAGGGAGGCACTTTGAGTCAAAATGGCCTCCACAACGATGGTTTGGGGGGTGATCAGGTGGTAAAAATAGACTCGGTTGCCAACTAAACATGTTGAAGTTCAAGTCTACCCAGAGGCACCTTGGGAGAAAGAACTGTCAATCAATTTCCACACAAAACAAGCATGGAAAACCTGATGAGTTGAGGTCAACTCCACAGCAGCTGATGACTAAGGGTCGACTAAGGATAAGGGAGGGTTTTTATTAAACTCTGAGACTGAAGACAGGGTAAAGCTAGCGCAAAAGAACTGGGAGTAACAAGCATCCAGAACATGGATCAAAGTCCAATTTTATTTCATAAATCAAGTTAATAAAAAACTCCCTATCTGTTCATTTCTCTCCAGCCGATGGTCTGTCCAACACATTCAACTTCACTGAGACCTAAGCACTCTGCCAGGTTCTGGTACCAGAAGAAGTACTTTCCTGGGGCTCTGGTAGAGAGGGAATGGGGAGGACGATTTACATTCGAGACCTTTAGTCAGGCAACCTCAGAAGTGTGCAGTGGTATTTCCATTTGCTGACCTTCCCCAAGAATGGGGGAAAAGAGATTTAACCCAAGTTTTAGCTAATTCTAAAATCATTTCCACTCTCCAATGTCACTTATTTTGAATACTATTTGGCCTAGAAAACTTGGAATTGTTCCAACTGATTTGAGCTTCCCTTTCATATTTAGAGCAATGGAATATGCCTTCCAGTGAAATAGGGGGTGGGGGTGGGGGGAAGCTCAATGTTAAGAAGATTGTGAAGGCCTTCTAAGAACTGAAAAGGTTTTAAATCATTTTCATTGAGTTGGACCCAGACAGCGGTGGACGGAGGCCAATCTGAACTGGGTTGAAGCTTGGGAGTGATCACTCCTCTCTAGGCCAGTGCTTGACCCTGATTTTTGCTGATAAACTCAAGAAGGGTGAACGTGGAGGAGACTTGGCAGGATAAACGAACCATTGAGATGAGCCGAATGCTGTCAAGTCCTGGCTCGGCCCAAGCTAGCATTTGATGGCTGGCAACCAAAAAAAAAAAAAAAGCTCAGTAGCACTGAGCTAGAAGTTCCTTGTCACGCTGGCTCTCAGACGTCTGCCTCTCTCTACCAACCTGAAGCAGAGCCACTTGTAGACCAGCAGCATTTGAGACACCCACCATGCCCAAACACAGTGCGTTTGTAATTGGTACTCATATTACCCCAACCCTCTCAGGTTGTTCTTAGTTTTGTGGTGAACACCTTATCAATGGCTACTCCCCTGGCTCAACTCCGCATCTCTAAATTGCAGACATCAATGACAAAATGCATGCATTTTTTTCTATATGTAAATTAGATTTCAGTACAAAGGTAGCCATAAAAGTAATAGCAGGGGCAACACCTCTAACCATTTGCCCCCTTTCCTTTCCTCAACCTTTAGAGCAGGGGTCCTCAAACTTTTTAAACAGGGGGCCAGTTCACTGTCCCTCAGACCCATTGGAGGGCCAGACTATAGTTAAAAAAACATCATGAATGAATTCCTATGCACACTGCACATATCTTATTTTGAAGTAAAAAACAAAATGGGGCAAAAGCACCCGGTGGCCTGGATAAATATCCTTGGTGGGCTGCATGTGGCCCGCAGGCCTGAGTTGGAGGACCCCTGCTTTAGAGAAACCAGGGCAGCCTAGGAAAATCCTAATTTCGGGGATGTGGTTGTCAAGGTAACAAAGGACTCTGGGTGGGCAACCTTCCCAGCTCTTGGTCCATGGAGTATGGTCCAAAGCTCTTTGCCAGCAACAGATTTCTCTGGGGCTCCTAACAGTAGGGATGTCTGTATCTACTCCAACCCAAAGCTGGAGAAGCCAAAGCTGCATTTGAGGCATCAGCAGGTGGACGAGAAGTTAAAAGAGCCCCGGGGTTAGAGGTGCCTTGGGGAAGTCCGTGGAGCTAAGTCCAGACAGATGACGTTTTGAATGGACAAAGACGCTGTGATTTTTACAGGGTCTGACGGACACTGCCAAGAGAGATTCATTGTGGAGTTCCTTATTTATTCCCTTCATTTGTATGTTCATTCAATATTTATTAGACACCCACAAATATATTAGGGAATTACAAAAACATAGTTTTGGTCCTTATAGAACTTAGTCTAAGGCAACGGTTCTAAACCTGCAGGTCATGACCCCTTTGGGGGTCGAATGACCCTTTCACAGGGGTCGCCCGGTTCATAACAGTGACAAAATGACAGTTATAAAGTAGCAACGAAAATAATTTTATGATGGGGGGGGGTGTCACCACTACCTGAGGAACTGTATGAAAGGGTCACAGCATTAGTTAGGTTGAGAACTACTGGTCTAAGGCATTACCTCAGTAGTTCAGGTTATGCGTAACTGCTGTGGAATCAGACTGACTGTGCACAATCCAGTTCTGTCACCTGGGACTTATATAACCTTTGATTTTGGACAGTTGACTCATCTAGCAAAGCAGGAATCATAATATCCACTCCAGGAGTCTTCAACCTTCTTAAAATCAGCTAGGACTTGTTTTTACTTTAGCATCCCCATTCCTAAATCACCCCCACATGTTTGCCTTCAATTTGTCTGACGCAGCAGCTACTTTTATTGAGCAACCAAGTGGGAACGACCCCGCTGTCCTTTAGTGTTGGTGGGAGGATCGTATTAAATAGTGCACATAAACTGTTAGCTTTCATTCTCAAGCAGAGCAGGTCTGTAGCTCAGCGCCACTCCAGGTTTATGCAAGAAACCCATTTACCTAGTGTTGGTCAGTGAGCAGGAAAAGCAAAATTAATTTTTTTAAAATGGCTGACTTCATGTATAAGCTTGGGGGCATCATTTATACCAGAAAGTATGGAAGCAATCATACGATTATTACAGCACGAAGCCAACCTGAAGAGGTTCTAGCCAGCGATGGGTGAGACCATTTGAGCTTCAAGAAGGGTCAGACCAGCAGCTCCTTGGAGCCCCACCAACATCTTCGAGTCTGGCTGAACAGTGTTTTAAAATCGAATCGGTCAGGTTTGGAGGATGAGAGAGAACTAATTTTTTTTATCATGAGAACCTGTAAATAAAAGGAAAAATTCAAGCATGTATCTTGTCTTTTCTATATACATTCTGTCATGCAGGAACCAACGATGATAGGAATCATTTCTGTATGAACTAATCACCACCGTTTCAACGAATGCATAACGATTCATTGAGAGCACTGAGTGTTGCTCCAGAGCAGCCCCTTAGAAAGGATCTTGGCAGAGAACACAGACAGCTGTCAGCATCACAGAGAGAGAGGAACCACCGCGAGCGTCCCTGTGGGAAGGAAGGATAGCACCACTACCACCCGCCATCTTGCCAAAGGGATCACAATCTGAATGTGATCCTGTCTCTACTCCAGCGGCTAATTTTCAAAAGTCCAGGAAACAAGGAACATGTAAACCTATACTGCAAGGATATGATCAACAAGGAGTACTGTGGGAAGCAATATAGATCCGAAGGCCCTGGTGTTTTCAAACAAGCACATTATAAGGAATGGGGGAGAAGGGAAGAAAAACCTAGTGGACTACAAGAGCCTTAGGAATAATGTTTAAGTTAGACTCCACTGCAGTGTCTAGGGATGTACTCAATTAGGAAGGGAGCCGAAATAATTCCACACTCACATAAGTGATTCGTCTAGAAGTCAGAAAGGGGGCTACTTTCAGGGGGAAAGGAAGCATTAACCTTGAGGTGAATTGTGGGGTGTAGAAATTGACAACATTCTAATTCTTGACCTGGGGATAGTCACAAGGTATTTGCCCTCTTAGAAGAATAACATCAATAATAGTACAATATCATAGCATGATAAGCTATACATTTATTTTGTGTGCCTTTCTGTGTTTTATTTTACAAATTGCTTTTTTTTTAATCCTTTGGAAAAAATAAAACCAAAGAATAAAGTGTAAAGTAAATCAAATTAGCCTGCTAAGTCCTAAACAAATCTGTTTTCTTCCATAGTTTGTTTAGGCCAATTACATCTATGTTTAGGGAATGTGTTATCAAGAATCAATCATCAAATGTTTTGGAGAACCTACTATGTGACATAAGGAGCCCTGGTGGCATAATGTCGTCCACATGGTGTCATACACGCTGAGATGCCAACCAACAAGGTCAGTGGTTCAAACCTACCAGCTGCTCCTCAGAAGAAAGATGGGATTGTCTAGTCCCGAAAAAGACTGAAAGGATCAGAAACCCAGAGGGGCAATTCTACCCGTCCGACAGGCTCGCTGTGAGTTGGCAGTGAGTTTATGGAGCGTTGGACAAAGTAAGACACTCCTATTCCCTGGAAACTGGATGTCTTCTTCATATACTTGCTCCATTTCTTGAATTAGTAAACATCATGCATAGGAATTATTCACTGTGGGTTTGCGTTTTTATGCTATTTCTGATCATGTGGGTTTAAGATATTTAATTGAGGGGTAGACTGAACAACTCCAGGGTAAAGAGAAGGAGCTCATGTGTCCCTTCATTCAGCATAAAACTCAGTGATCCCGGGCCCTTGTCTTGGCCACTGTTGGCATTGAAGCCACAAGCCAGGGGCCCAGGGTGCAGCCTCCTGGGGGTGCCGGCAGCTGGAAGTCGGTTTGTTGAGAATCAGCTCATACTAGGCTACAGTGTGATGACTCATCCCCCCAACCTCACAACCACACCACACATCTGACTAGCCAGTTCCTAGAAATGACAACTTCAGCAATGGTTATAATGGGTAGCAATTCCCAGCAACACAGGAATGTTTGAGAATTTTTACCAACCCAGGATCACAAACACCCGGAAACAACTTACTCCTTCCCATCATAAAAAAGACAAAACAACCCAAAACCAACAACTGATTTCTGAATGCAAGCACATCAAGGTTCACGATCATTCTACAAACCCAAGAAAACCTAAGCATGGAGAGAGAACTATACAATTGCTTTGCAACTAAGACGCTTCAATTGTAATCAAGATGGACTTATCTAGTCACATGTACTTTGTCTAAACAACAACAATAACAGTAATGGTAATAATAATAATTAGAATAGGTAGCTAGGATTGACTATGTGGTAGATGCTATTCTAAGGAAACTCCATGTGGACACTTATGAATTGTCATTACAATCTGATATAGAGGTGATACTCTGATACCCCCAGTTTACAGATAAAGTAAAGGAATCACAGAGAAATTAAATAATGTGCCCAAGGTCACAAATCTAGTAACACTTCTAGGATTTGGACCAAGGAGCCTAGTTTCTCAGTGCCTATCCTATTAAGTACGGCTATGCTACAGTGCCACCAGTTCTCAGCATCTACCCAAGTCTAGTAAATGCTGGAGTGGTGAAAGTGGTTGTCGATATTCAAACATTCCCTGACTTATCAATTTTACATTTTAGATAGGTCACTCTGGCAGATCACACACTCAATCAATCATCCAATCGTGTCTTATCTGCCTCCTTAATAGATCTTGAAGCTGGTAGGCTCCCTTCCCACAGCCACCTCTTGATTCGAGCCACCATCACCCTCCAGATCACTGTTGTAATTGATCTTCCTACCTCTCCCTGTAACTGATGAAGGAGGTAAAAAGCCACAAGAGAATTGTACAAAGAGATCAAGTAGGCCAAAGGACACACACACCCACTAAACCATTCTCTATTTAATCAATTATGTCTTGTAGAGACCGAGTGTTGCAAGGTAGACCAGCACTCCCTAGTTTTCAAGCCTGCGACTTTTAGAAAGAAATCCTGGGACTTTTCTATTTTCTCTTTTCTTCTTTCTTGAGGTGCCTCCAGATGGATTCGAACTGCCATCCCCTTGCTTAGTAGTTGGGCACCAGTAGTGTACTACACCAGCCCCAGTGATAATGGAGCAAGGGCTAGGGAGCGGGATGGAAGCAGCGGCAAACCTGGGCTCTTGCAGAGCTAACGACCATCAGCAGCAGAGCCAGTAGAAGTCATTCAATGACAGCACCTGCTTTCCTTATGGACAAGCTCCCACGGGGACCTGCCCTCTGCGACTGTGGGCCCCAGAAAGAGCTGACAGGGAGAATTGTTTGAACTCCTCCCGCCCCTTCCGCGCCGCTGTGGCCTCCAGAGTCTCCTGATCAGAAGAGCTTGGCCGGCTCCGGCCACCCTCCCTCCTGTTCTGGCCTTGTTGAGATGTGCCCTAGGCAGGAGGAAGTTTTCACATGACCAGTTAATCCTCCTTTCTCTGCTCCCACAGCACACGCTACAGCAACAGCTCGGCCAACATGCTAACACTCAGGGGCCCACGGTGGACAAGAAGGGCCCTGCTGCTCGCCACCCTTTGGGCTACTACACACCTGCCGGCGCCAAGTGCCTCCCTGCCCCGGAGACTCCCAAGGGCCACAGGTAGGTGTTGTTCCTCTTGTCCCACGGGACTGAAGAACTGAGAGGGAGTCAGCGTTGGACTCTGGCTGATGCTTCCTGTGTTTGCTCTGATTTGGGGCTTGGCCGGTTATCAAACCCTCTGGATCCCTTCAATAGATTCTCAAAGGTAGCCCCAGAAGCATTCATGCAGCAAGAGAGTGGCCTGTTCCCATCGCTGGAGAGTTCATGGAGTCGGGGCTGGAGGGAGTGGGAGTGGGGAGATCTTTCTTCTAGGGATTTCTTGTACAACAGTGACCGATGCTTTGCAGACAGGGGGAGTCCATGGGCACTGAGCCGGGACAATGAAATTGTACGGGCATTAGAAACTTACTCATCAGAGATGTGATTTCTGCTTGAGCGAGGAAGGGGCTTAGCATAACCTTCTAGAAGCCATGCAGACAGAAAAGAAAAAGAAAAGTTGTCATTAAGCTGATTCCATCTCCGGGTGACCCTGTGTGTAGCACAGTATAGCTGTCCTGCAGCAGGTTTTTCAAGCTGTGGCTTTGGAAAGCAGATCTCGGGCCTTGCTTGCAAGCAGCCTTGAGGTAGAGCTGAGCTGTACTTCCCTGAGGACTGAACCGTGGCACCGTCCAGGGACTCCACAGCAGGCACAGAAGTATTTCACAGGTTTTTCTTTTAAAAAATATATAAGTCCACCATTATCATCTTTTTTCACTAAGGCACCTGTTCCCTGTTGCAAAGATATTTTAAAAAAAATACAGCCACATCCCATTGAGAAGTGCTTTATAAATGTCCAGTGGGGTTCTTCAACATCCACCCCACATGTACAGCTTTCTAAGCAATCTTTCTTCTGGGGCTTCAAATCCGCGTGCTACAAACTCCATGTCCTTTGCCTTCCCAGGAAATGCTACCCAATGTGCCACCTCTCGATCCTCGGAGTTTCCTGAGGGTTTTTTCACGAAACAGGAGCAAGTGGAGGGAGGCATCATCATCTACTTCCTAATCATCCTGTACATGCTCATGGCTGTGTCTCTGGTCTGCGATGAGTACTTCCTCCCTTCCCTGGAAAGCATCAGTGAAGGTAAGTAGCTGGGAATCGGCCCCTATCCCTTCCAGAATCATTGTATCACAAACTGTGAACTAGCGCAGGTGGCAGCAGGCCGTGGTCTCCTGTGCCTCAAGGAGCTGGCCACCATGTGGCTTCCTTCGCTAGTTCATGTGAAGCGAAGCCTTTTAAAATGAGTGCCTCGCTGCTCCGTCGCAAGACACCCTGCTTGTTCTACCCTCCAGCTTGACTGTAGAGAGCGCGTTCCCAGGCTCTGCATGGGTGGACTTGATGGTGTTAGGTGCCATTGAACTAGTTCTGACTCACGGACAACAGCACAACGCACCACCAAGTCCTGGGCCCTCCTGACGATGGCTCTTCCATTTGAACCCATCGTTGCAGCCACTGTGTCAACCCATCTTGTCGAAAGCCTTCCTCTTGTTTTGCTGCCTCTTTCCCAAGCATGATGTCCTTCTGCAAGGACTGGTCGCTCCTGACAACATGTCCAAAGTCCATCAGACAAAGTCTGGCCTCTAAGGAGTATTCTGGGTGTACTTCTTTCCAGAGAGATTGGTTTGTTCCTCTGGCGGTCCGTGGTGCTTTCAATATTTCTTCTCAACACCATAATTCAAACGCATCAATTCTTCATCAACCTTCCTTATTGAATGTCTAGCTCTCACATGGGATAGTGGTTAAGTACCGGACTGTGTTCCCTGTGGTCAGCAGTTGGAAATCATCAGCAGATTGGAGAGAGAAAGATGAGGCTTTCTACTCCCCTAAACAGTTACAATCAGAAACCAGCAGGGGTCGCTATGAGTCAGCACTGGCTTCATCGCAGTGGGTTGAATTTTTGAGCTTTCATGGGCATGTAAGATGACTGAAGAGACCATGGCTTAGGTCAGGAGTGCTTCCGTCCTCAAAGTAACATTCTTGCTTTGCAACACTTACTTACAAGAGGTCTTGGGCAGCATAGTTACCCGAGTGATTTCTTGACTTGCTTCCTCCACGAGCCTTCGTTGTGCATCCAAGCAAGATGAAGGTACTTGATGTGCATCTAATATCACAAAGTCCCTAGTGCTTACCATGTTATACTTGAAAAACAGCTTCATTTTTACTCCAAAGTCATTTTTTCAAGCTAAAAGAAAAAAATTGATTTTTTTGTCTACTCTCCTGGTTGTTCCTTTTCGAGTATCCTCCCATTAAATGAGATTATAATTTATGCTTATGAACCAAACATTCATGGTGGTGGTGATGGATAGGTGCTGTCATGTCAATTCTGACATAACAAAATACTGCTTGTTCATGCATTACCTTAATGATCGCCTCTGTTTGAGCCCCTTGTTGGAGCCACTAAGTTCATTCATTTCCTTATTTTCAATGACCTTCTCCATTATCAAGAACGATGTCCTTCTCGAGGGACTGGTATCTCTCAATATCACATCCTAAGTAGGTATGTGAAATGAAGTCTAGCCACCTTCCCTTCAAAGGAGCATTCTGGCTGGACTACTCCCAACTCTAATTTGTTCATTCTGCCGGCAACCCACACAGGATGTAGCCAATCTTCTTCGCCAGCACCGTAATGCAAAGGTATCAAGTTTTTCTTGATTAGGTGGGTGGGAGGGTGGGGAAGAGAAAAAAGAGGAGCTGATACCAAGGGCTGAAGCAGAAAGAAAATGTTTTGAAAATGAGGAAGGAAATTGATACAATTGGGGTATGGATTGTTATAAGAGCTGCAAAAGCCCCCAATAAAATGATTATGAATAATAAAAATAAATTAAAAAGAGCAGGTGTACCTTGGATCTCAACGTGATCGCTTTGTTTTTTTAACAGGCCTTTGGCGGCAGACTTGCTTCATGCAGTAATGTCATTTGATTTCCCCACTGCTGCTCCCAGGGGCTTTGATTGCAAAAGAAAGACCTAGAAATCTACTTAAAAAAGAAAATTAGGGGGTCTGTGGGGGTGGGGGGGAGCCAGTTAGAGCCTTACAAATAACAGCAGAACCAAACGTGGAACATAAATAAATAAGTCCTGCATCCTAGGGAAATTACCCCTCCCCCCCCTTCCAGCCATGTCCGCTGCCCAGAATCCTCAACCATAGGTCTTTTATTGGCGGTGGGGACCTCCAGATCAGATTTAGGAATGTTCTCAGACAGATTAGCACAGGTGCCAGCGTTCACAGTCTCTGTCTCCTGCTTGGTTCATTAGTTGAGCAAGCTCATTTCGGAGCAGATAATTAGCTATGGTTAGGTCCCTCTTTCTACTCAGGAACCGCATCTCTTGCTCTAGCATGCATATAAACATACTGGAAACAGCATGAAAATAAAAGAAAATGCACGGCCATTGAGTCAATGCCGACTCATAGCAACCCTACTGGACAGGCTAGAACTGCCCCTGAGTTTCTGAGACTCTGTGGGAGCAGAGAGTCCTGTTCTGTAGAGGGGTGGTGGTTTCGAACAGTGGACCTTGAAATCACAGCCTGATGCGTAACCACTGCGCCTTAAGAAAATACACTCTTCCTTTTCCTAGTGCTCTACTCTCTACCCTTGGTGAAATGCAAATCAGCCTTCGTTTCCTCTTGCTTACTGGGGCATGCAGCATCTTCAGGATCTAAAATAGTACCTCACAATAGAGGAGGACGCACTCAACACAAATTCCATTAATAATGTCTGTGTGTGTGTCAGCATATGTTTACTACAATTACTACTATTTAGCTTAAGTAAATGCAAATGTTTTTACGTTTCATTTAGCATTTCATATTAACATTAGCATTAGATCAGAGAACTGCGTTGTTGAACTAAATGGTATCTCTTTCTGATGAAACGCAAGATACCCTGTTTGTAAAAAAAAATCACTAGAAAATGTGAAAGGAAAATTTAAATCACAATAAACGGGAAAAGATGGAAGTTATCAAGGATTTCGTTTTAGTTGGATCCTTAATCAGCTATGATGGCACTTTGAAAAGTGAGTTTGACGCAACCCATTGTCTTTTCGCTCACCTCATACGCCTAAGAAAACTGGACAATGGCTGACTACGAAGACGGGATGCCTTTGAACGATGGTGTCAGCAATGGATAGTGGCTAAACCCTGAGCCACCAGAAGAATGCGGGAACCTGTCTTGAAGAAACAGACAGAATGCTCCTGCGAAGCGAGCTGTTGACAGTTCTTCATCTTGCGCCCTTCAGGCCCGGGATGCAGCGTGACCAATCCCTGGGAAGGCCTCATGCTTAGGTCAGCAGCCTGGCTCCAACCCAGCCCTGGTGAGGAGTGTGCAGGAGCCGCATCCGTGCACTCGCCATAGGGTCCAGAGGAGTCCCAACTAATGCACCACCGAACCACCACAACACGGGCATTTTTCAGAGATCCCAGGGATCGGTTTAATGGATTTCCTTTCGATCTTTGGTGGCTCTCTCTCAGACACACACACATACACCCAGAGAGAGCCTGAGAGCCCTTTCTTCACATAAGATGTTTTCTGAGTGCATTTCCACGTTACCATCATTTGAATGGCAGCGTATCGTATCGACATGTCATCTAAGCATGGAACACATACTAAAAACCAAAAAGCAAAGCGGCTGCCATTGAATCAGTTCTGACTCGTGGTGCCTCCACGTGTGTTTCTGTAGAGCTGGGTTCCACAGGTCTCCAAGGGCTGATTTTTGGAAGTCAATCTTCAGGTCTTTCTTCTGACGCGCCTCTGGGTGGACTTGAACCTTGAACTTATGGGTTAGCAGCTGAGCACTCCAGCTGTTCTTGTCACTCAGGGATTCCTGTCTCAGCGTTGCTGCTAGGTGCTGTGGGGTGGTTTCGATCCACAAAGTTGTTTGGGTTCTCCAGAGAAAGAGGCTGATCATGATTCTTGGAACACAGAGGGCTGCGGGGACATGAGTCCACGTGGTGGAGAAAGAAAAATCACACTCTACTGTCTGTTTTACCTTTGGAAAGGAAACAAGGCTTCCTGGGCTAAAACAGGTGGGGCCTTCGGAGAAAGGGGGTCAAAGATGTGCTCAACTTGTGTCGGATACCAAGCGGAAGCTAAGGAAGTCAGAGGTAACGGGATGAAGAATAAACCTAAGGGAATCTTCCTTATTCCCTCCCGTTTTGCTACTCTAGCCCCTTGTGTGGCTGAATCTTCTAATGGGTGTGTGGAGAGAAAGAGAGAGAGAGAGAGAGAGAGAGAGAGAGAGAGAGAGAGAGAGAGAGAGAGAGAGAGAGAATGAATGAATCTAGATAAAAAATGGCAGGACAGAGGGAACTACGAATGACTTCAAGGAAGAAAGCGGAGTTTCTGTGTTCCTGGATCATTCAGGTCAGCCTGACCTAAGAATCTTCGTCTAAACTGTCCATGCTTGGCTTGTAAAGTTAGTCACATTACCCTGTTTCCCCCCAAAAAAGACAGTGTCTTATATTAATTTTTCCTCCCAAAGATGCGCTAGGTCTTATTTTCAGGGGATGTCTTATTTTTCCATGAAGAAACATTTATTGTTGAACAAAAAAGGAAATGTATTTCCTGTATAAGGTACGGTAGTAGTTGTCATCACAAACCAGGATAACCAGACAAACTGTGAATCCTACAGTATCAAGAATTTCTTGTTACTACCATTATTTCCATGTACAACAATCTATGGTACATTTACTCATAATCTATGGTACATTTGCTCACACTTCCTGTCTGCTCTGGATGCGCTGCGGCCAACAGCGAGCTGTGTGGCGGCTCTGCGGTCCAGAGTCCAGAGTTATGGTAGCTTCGGGGGGCCTATTATCAGGGAGGCCTTATGTTCAGGGAGGTCTTATTTTCGGGGGTTGCCTTATATTTCAGCGAGAGGCAAAACTCTAAGTAGGTCTTATTTTCGGGGGATGTCTTACTTTCGGGGAAACACGGTACCGTGTACTCATATTTGGCAATGTTTGCTTGCAGTTTTTTCACCTTTTTTAAAAATCATGGCGTTGATATTCTTCCTTGCTGAATGGTTGATGACGGTGCCAAGAGTCCTTAGAGAGGCAAGCCGTGCTGGCCTCTGCTGCTGTGCCACAGTGT